GAGGAACAGGTGATAAAATTTTTTCCCACATTGTAGGTTGTCTCTTAGCTCTGTTGGTGGTTTCTCTTGCAGTGCAGAAGTTTTTTTTTTTTTTGGTACTGAGGATCGAACTTGGGACCTTCCACTAGTGAGGCAGGTAGCAGAACCACTGAGCTAAATCTCTGGCCCGCAGAAGCTTTTTAATAAGAAGAGATCCCAGTTGTTGATTATTTGTGCTAATTCCCATGCTACTGAGGTTTTGTTCATAAAGTCTTTTCCTGTGCCAACGTCTTCAAGAGTTCTAACTAACTTATCTTCCAATAAGTTTAGTGTTTCTGTTTTAATATTTAGATCTTTAATCTACTTAGATTTTAGTTTAGTGTGTGGTGAGAGATATGGGTCTAGTTTTAATCTTTGGCAGGTTGAAATCCAGTTTTTCCGGCACATTTATTAAATAGGCTATCTTTCCTTCAGTAAGGATGGTTGGCTCCTTTGTCAAAGATGAGGTGGCTGAGTATGTCTGAGTTGTTTGTGCATCTTCCAATCTATTCCACTGATCCTTGGGTCTGCTTCTTTTTCAGTACCACACTGTTTTTATCACAGTGGCTTTGTAGTATAGTTTCAAGTTGGGGATTGTGATACCCTGTCATGTTGTTAAACTTTTTATAAAAGGTAAAATGTTATAGAAAACATTGACTTGGAAGTTAGGTTCTCAGAAATTTCACCCACTAGAAAATCTTCTGCTAACATTTTCATGTATCAAGATGATTTTTGGCTATTTCCAAACATGATGTTGACCTTAAAGGCAAAAATTTTCTACCAGATTGAATTATTTTGTTCAAAAGTACTGTGCTTGGGATTAGGGGAGTACCTCAGTGGTAGAACTTGACCCTAGCATGCTTGAGACACAGCATTCCTATTACCTGCACTGCAAAAAAATAAAACAAAAACACTCTGCTTATGATTTTACAATTATGATGTCAAAATAAAAGTTTTGAGTAGTGGAATGATACAAATAATGTATCTCCTTCTGAAATGACAAATTTGATTGGCTATTATTTTGGTTAAGTTCTGGAGTACTTATAACTATATTGGTCTCATTACTTTCTATTCATACCTTCTGTTTCTCAGTTGTCTTTCTTGGTATTTATCATGTTTCTATTTTTAAAAAATCAATAATATGAGAGGAGGAACATTTTACTTTTGGGTCTTTTTTCTAGCTATTTCCCTATAACAATATCTGGCACAAACATTTTTGTTGAAGTGAAGTATTGAATGGTATAGATTTTCAACATTATGTAAAGTAGATAAGACTTTGGTACAGTCGGACAAGCTTTCAATTCCATCTTTACCATTGCACATTATTATGACCCAAGCAAGTTATTTAGCCTTGACTTTCTCACCAATAAAACGGGATATTAATTCCTACCTCTTGGGACTATTTGAAAAGATAATGTATTTATGGTACCCATTATATTATATAGGATGTATAAATTACAGCTTTCCTATTTTTATTATTCTTGGCATTTATGTTATAGGCTTAGTTTCCATCTTTGGGAGTTACCATCCATGGATCATGGTGTATCTTTCCTTCCCATTGTTTTGAATGTTGTAATTTTTTTTTCTTGTTTCCAGGGATCAAACTCAGGACCTTGTGCCTGCAAGGCAGGTGGTGGAACCACTGAGCTAAATCCCCAGCCCTGAATGTTGTAATTTTTAAGTTCTTTCCCACACTCCCACCCCAGGTTGTTTTTTTTTTTTTTGACTAGAGAAACCAAAATAGCT